TGGTCAAAGACATCTGAGAAATAATGCACTCATTAACTTTTGATAAATTTAAAATATATATCAAAATTCTTAGGGAAAACTGTTAATAAAGACCCTTGATTTTATTTCCTTGCTTCCTTTCTTATTTTGAGGCAGAGACTCATATAGCTCAGGCTAGCTTCAAACTTGCTATGTAGCCAAAGATGGCCTCTACCTCCCAAGGACCAGATCAGCAGGTTTGTGCCACTGTGCTGCTAAGAGACTTCCCTTTAAACCGCAACCCAGACTTATCCAGCTGAGAATCCCTTTACTGCAGAGCAGCATCAGCACTACTGCAGGTTAGGGTGGAGGCAGCTGCTATGGGGCAGGGCTGTAGCTCGGAGTGTGGGTTCAAGCCCATGGACAAACCCTTCACCACTCACAGGCTGGAGCATAGCTCTGTCTAATGTGTTACCTCTTCTACTTAATTCTCTTGGTCTTTACAAAGTCTTCATTAAGCTGGGCCATAGTGGCACACACCTTTAACTTGGGAAGCAGAGACAGGCGGAACTCTGTGAGTCCGAGACCAGTCTGGTTTACAGAGCGAGTTCCAGGACAGACTCTGCCACAGGAGTATTGCTGTGAGATCAGCACTGGCCTGGGCTACAATGTGAGTTCCATGTTAGCCTGAGGTACTGAGAGATACCCTTTCTCAAAAACCAAAATCAAGCTCTACCCCCCCCCCCCAGCCAAACCAAAAAACAAACAAAAACCACAAAGTCGCACCATAGGGCTGGGAAGTAGCTCAGCTTGTACAGTGCTTCCTTACCAAGCACAGAGTCCTAGATTCCCTCTCCAGCACTGCATAAAACAGGCACCTGAGAGGTGGAGGCAAGTTCAAGGTTAACCTACACTACTTGAGACCCTGTCTCAATCATCCTATAGTAAACTACGTTTTGTTTTGGCTTTACAGTAATAATGTTAGGGATCGGCTCAGGGCCTTGTGTGTGTCAGACCAAGGCTCTAATGAAAGACACGCCCAGCTTGCTTGCTTGTTTGCTTGATGTATTCATAGGCAGGGTTTCATATTGGGTGCAGACTGGTCCTGAATTCTTGGCAATCCTCCTGCCTCAGCCTTCCAAATGCTGGGATTACAAGTGTGAGGCACTATGCCTGGCTCCAAATTACATTTTCAATCATTTCAAATAATTATAAGGACGGCTAGGTGTGGTGATGCATGGCTTTGAGCCAGTACTTTGTAAATTCAAGGCAGCCTGCTCTACACAGCAAGGTCCAGGCTACCTGCTGCTTCACAGTGAGACCTCATCTCAAAACAACTAGATAAGCAGAAAATAAAATCATACTGACAAATTAGAATCGGGGCAGGGCTGCCATTCCACAGGCTCCAGACAGCCCTTGTCATTACTTTACCTTCCCTTCTCATGGATCTCTCCCGTTTTTGAAATCTGCAACTTCATTTTGCTCACATTACATCATTGCGATTTGGAGTTTTCTGTGTCTCTGATGAGCAGCCACAATCTTATTTGTAGTTTTTTATTTATCACATCATTTTTTAATGTGATATATAGATTTATTACATAATATAGCAGAATCATAATATGTGGGAAATTATTCTATCCATCCTATCATTGTTGTTCTTGGGGGGTTATTGTTGTAGGTTGTCTATTTTTGCTTTTGAGACAGGACCTCATAGATAGGCTTGGCTAGTCTGGGACTCACAGAAATCCATCAGACTCTGCCTCCCAAATCTGAGATTAAGGGCATGTGCCACCATGCCTGGTTTATGTATGTTAAAAAGCAAACAACAACAACAAAAAACCCCTTTATTTTTAGTGTGCATTTATGTGTGGGTTTGAGTGGATCTCAGAGGACAACTCTGTGGAAACAGTCCTTTCCTCCATAACACAGATTATGGGGATCGAACTAATGTCACCAGCCTTTCGTAGCATGCGCCTTCACCCACTGAGCCGTCTCAGCCCAGTCACTCTTATCTCTGCCAGTTCAATAGCTGAAGATCCATCCATTCCATGGGGTGCCCTCCCCCACCCAGGGGTTCTCTGTGTAGCACCACCACCACCCAGTCAACGAGGTGCGTTTTAGTGAACACGCTATTGTTTCTGCTAAGTTCTCAGAAATACACAAAAAAACCAGAATATTATTTTACTTGCCTCTACTTAGCTGACATGCATACATAAATTGGTGTACTTATTGAAAGTTACTGGAATTCAGAAACCATTTCAGAGTGCATTGCATACACTGGTGACCAAATTAAATGTGGTGTTTTGGTTTGGGTTTGGGGGTAGCTCATGGGGGTTCCATGCTTGTTTATCAATTCTAAGACCCTGGGTTTCATTTGTAGCATCATCAAAACAAAAAACTCAAAGCAAAACAGGCCAAACTGCCCATTCCCCCCGAAAATACTAAGGTGGAGGTTGAAAGAGAAGTCAATTCCATTACAGCATTGAACCTGAGGGTAAAAGACCGGTCACTGTTGTGAGGTATTTGACTACCCTGTGTAAAGACTGCGTCACTGTGATTGGTTTAATAAAAACCTATGCGGCTAACAGTTAGGCAGGGAGAATAGGTGGGACTTCTGGGCAAAGAAAGGAACTGGGGATGGGTCCAGGCAAGCAGAGGAGATGCCAGGAGAGGCAGAACAAGTCAGAGGTACAGAATGGAAGAAAGGTAAAAAGCCACGTGATAGAACATAGATTGTAAAATATGGGTTAATTTAAGTTAGAAGAGCTAGTGGGACAAGCCTAAGCTATAGGCTGAACTTTCATAATGAATAGGAAGTCTCTGTGTCATTACTTGGGACTGGCTAGTGGAACAGAGAAAGACTTGTTACAGACTACAGTGGGATTTAAGTGCATCATCAAAGCACAAAATTTTCTATATTTGCAATACGCAATACAAATGAACACTTAAAAGGCTTTCAGACTTATGCAGCTGCTAAGAAAATTTACTGCGGGGACTGGAGCTTGACTGCTACAGCTCAGCAGTCAAGAACGCTGCTGCTTTCCCAGAGGATCCAGGCTCCATCCCCTGCACCCACATGGTGGTTCACAATCCAACACCCTCTTCTTGCTTCTGGGATTATTGTACATGAATGCCTCCCTCCCCCACATAGATGCAGGCAAAACACCTATACACACAAAATAATAATAAAATAAATCTTACTATGAAGGTAGCTGGGCATAGGGAAAAGTTATGTTTTTAAGAGACAGACAACTACAGTCTAGAGATCAAGTTACGGCTTTCTGTGGGTTCAAGCTTCTTTACTTGAAAATGAAGATAAGATTATCTCAAAGTGTTGCTGTAAGGATTAAACAGGAATATGCGTTCTTCGGTATGGTATTCTATCTATGCTTTTCAATCTTGCACTTTCTTTCACTCCCTCCCTCCATCCTTTGCTGCTGTTCGGAAACAGTCTCACCTAACCCAGGCTGGCCAAAACCTTGTATAGCAGTGGATGACCTTGAAGTTCTGATGCTCCCGTCTCCACTTCCTAAGTGTTGAGATCACAGCCTTTAGCGTGGCTCGTTCTAGTACATAAGTAGCTGACACTGATTTTAACATTTGCATTTACTTGGAAACAGACTATGAAAACTTGTAAGAAGTCAGTGTGCACGCGTGCAAGCACACGCCCATACAAAGTTGCATACACGAAGCTATTAAAGAAAGATGAATGCAAATCTAGCTGGGCTCCATTAATCAGCTAGAGCTTGGTTAGCAAAAGTTAATTACACAGCAAGGTAATTAAGGCTGATTTTTTTTTTTTTTAACTCAAAGAAGAAAACATGAAGACAAATCCTGACCCATACAGGTAATGGGGGAATGTTAGGTCATCTGAAAGCCAGGCGTGGACTCATGTCTGTAATCCAAACACCAGGAAGCCTAAGACAGAAGACAGTCAGAGTCCCAGGCAAGTCAGGGCTAAAGAGACTGTCTCAAAAGACACTCTAAAGATACCCTAATGCCCACCCCCAAAAAGACCATTTGAATTTTCATTGGATGGGTCTTGGAGATGAATGGAATACAGTAGTATTTAAACTTCTCCCAAATCACAAAGGCAGGGATTTCCAGATAAGAAGGGAAAGTGAAATAGCTTGTTCCTCAAAAATTTTGTTTTGCTTTTTGTAGGATACTAAAATTTGGTAAACCAAACATTGGGGTTTTAACATTCCATAGTTCTGAATTCAGTCATCAAATGTCAGAGCAGTTTTGAGAAACAGATATTAGCAGTCAAGGAATGCCATAGACCTTGTTTAACAATTTGAACATAACACAAACTACCAATTACACCTACAAGTCTTATCAACATCAACGATAATATTCTGCCTTTTCCCCTTGCCTCGGAGCTAATTCTACTTTATATACATTATCTCATTAATTCATACTGCAACCCTGGAGGCATATTTTGGGGTTAGCTAACTTTTCCGCCCAGTATCCCGTAAGTAACTTAGAAAAATAACTCGAAGGCCACAAAGATCAAGTCCAGAAACAAATTCCAAGTGTATGGTTTCTACAGTCTCAACACGGGTCCGAACAATCCTTTCACAGGAGTCGTATGAGATATCCTGCATATTTACATTTCTATTCAGAACAGCAGCAAAATTAAAGTTATTAAGTAGCAACGAAAAGAATTTTTACGGCTGGGGCTCACCACAACATGAGGAACTGTATTGAAGGGTCGCAGCATTAGGAAGGTTGAGAACCCTGCTCTTACATCAGGTTTCCAGCTGAAAACCGAGTGTGTGTAATCTTTGAGAAGTGTGAAATGAGCACACAAACACCGTTGAGGCTAGGCACCCTTTCGAACTCTTACGTTAAATTGCGTTAACATAAAAACAGACCTTCCGAGCCCGTTCTTCCTCCCAGGTCCGCAGCCCTGGGTCTAGAGGATGCCCCCCTCTTGAGGGTCGCTTACTCCGCTGGCCTCACTCCTAACCTCGGGGCGGTTCGGGTACACGCTCCTTTCCCTCCATCACCGCATCCCCTGTGCGGCTCAGTCCCCTCACCATCGAGTCCAGCACCAGGATTCCCGCTGCGGTGCCCGGCACACACAGCCAGCAGCCTGATCCGAGGTTCCCGTCCCGCGACTGTGAAGCCAACTCCGGACGTGTGGCAGGAAGCTACCCAGCGCGCAGTCGCCACGGCTCCAACCACAGCCCAGCGGAGGGGCACCGCGCCGCCCGCCCTGCGGCCAGAAGCGGGCAGCAAGTCTCAGCGCGGCGGCGGCCCGTCCCAGGAGGTCGGTGCCCAGGTCTCTTCGCTCGCTACGCCAGTGAGTCCCGTCGCCGTGGCAAGCCGCACCCGCCGTGGCCAGGCCTCTTCTCCCTTGCCCCGGCAGCCGCGCGCAATGGAACGTCCCGCGGGGGGGATTGTGGGAGGCGCACGCTCGAGGGGTGGGGGCGAAGGCGGCGGCGGCCGTGGCTGCCGTTGGTAGCCGTGGGGGCGGGGAAGGGAGGGAGGCGAGCCGAGGAGGAGGAGGAGGAGGCGGAGGAGGCGGAGGAGGCTCGGGCTCGCGCCGCCGAAGGTACGCGTGAGGGCCGAGCGGGCGCCGGGAGCGCGCGAGCGGGCGCGCCGGAGCGAGCGCGTCGGTGTTGCCGGCTCGGGGCGGCGGGAGGCGGCGGCTGGAGGGCGCAGCTCGCGCCCAGTCCAGACACACTCGGAAGCTTGCCGGCGGGCGTGCGCGCTGCGCGTCCGGAGACGGGTGAGGGGGGGGGACGGCGGGGAGAGCGCGCGGAGGGAGGAGTGGGAGGCGGGGGGGGGCACAAGGCGCCCTTCGCTCGCTCGCTCGCTCGCTCCCTCCCTCCCTAGAGCCGCTGCCGCCGCCGCCGCCGCCGCCGCCGCCGCCGCCGCTCCCGCCGCCATTTTGGGTTCGCTTTGCGGAGGGGGAGACGATCCCGGTCTCGGTTGCCGGACCCGCCTTTCCTCGGTTTCCCCTTCCCGACCTACGCCTTTGGCTTCTCCTCTGGCGTTTCCGCCGGCCCGCTTACCCGCTGCCCGCCTCCTGACAGCGGGAGGGTTACGGCGTGGACCCGGAGAAGCCGAGGCGCCAGGCTGCCACCCCCTCTTCCCCCTTGCCTGCGCTCGGCGCTCTCTGCCTCGCACGGTGAGTAGTGCGGTGCGAGCAGGCCTTTGAAGGCCCGAGTACTCTCTCTCTCTCCTTGGCTGCCCGGGATCCACTGTCACCTCCCGGACCTGGACCTCCGGGAGAGCGGGGTGCGGATGGGGGAGGGGAGAGGAGGGAAAGGGATCCTGAGCTTACCGGGAAGTCCCTCTAGGCGGGGTGGCGGGGTGTCCCCGGCCGGCGGGCGCTTCGTTTGGGGGAGGGGGACGGGGAAAGTAAGTGAGTGGAGGCGGAGTCGGCTGTGCCCCTGACAGGTTAGTTTTGTAGTAGGCCTGATTGGAGCATCTCCCAAGATCCAGTTTATGTCTGTTTAAGGGACAGAAGTGGCCAGGGAGATGATCTTCAGAGGGTAGTTTACCTGTATGAGACTGTGGTGTTCTCTAAAGGCGGAACTATGTGCAGACATGACATACTGATCTGTTAATAAGTTTAATAAATAAATGTCACTGGTTACTTTGGAAAGAAATGTTTTCGGTCTTCAAGAACAGACGGTCTGTTGGTTATAGCTGCTGTGTTTATGTGTGTGTGTGTGTGCAAAGATGGAAAGTGCTCAGGAGGTGACTGCATTTGTGGAAGTGCAATGGAGTTCCCTTTTAAAAACAAATGCTGGGACGTGTCCTCGAGGTCGACAGTGTACACGTACTTTTGCCTACTAGATAATACAGCATGCTTCCTAGGACCAGGGAGGGAGGAAACTTGACGTAGCTTGTGTTTTTGAATAGTCAGTTGTGTAAATATGAAAGCCCAGAACATCATCCTCAGAGTGATCAGGCCGAGAATGAGGCCATGTGGATCTATAGTAGTGCTTATGTTAGCATAAGGTTTTTATACTCAGAATGCTTTCAGTTTCTCTGTAATCCTAGAGCTCTGAAAATGATAGGAAAGTAGGAATTTGGGGCGTGAAGAGGTGCTCTTCCAAGGTCACATGTTAAATTAGTGGCAAAGTTGGGACTACAAGATATTTTGATTATTAGCTTAGTAATGTATTGTCCATATCATAGTGCCTCAGGAGATTGTTATTGGCAAATATAAGTGTATCTGGAAAGGAGGCATATGGTTAGATTATGCTTATGAGAGCCTAAAGTGCCAAACGTGTGGACTATATACTGTCCTTGCCTGTCTGACCTATCAAATAGGTATTTTAACTGTTTTGTGTTCACACAGCAAGCAGAGCCTTTCTGATAGTTTAGTGTGTATGTTTGATAACTGAAATGCTTTCACAGCCTTATTTGTACTTGTGTGGCTGTTGTTTGTTGTTGGTTGGGTTTTTTTTGGGGGGGTGTGCATCTGTTTGATTAAACCCAAGGCATTAAACCTGCTAGCAAGCTTTTTACCACTGAGCCACACTGCCATCTGGGCAGCTTAGCTTTATATCTACAAGAGAAAGGATCTTCTTTGTCTCAATGAACAACAACAAAATTATTGGATACTTAATAATCGATCCCTGTCTTGGGGTAAGAATAACTGCGATCTGTTGATTAGCTTGTGTAATAGCTTGGGGTGCATTTGAGGGGAGTTGTCAGCCTATTGAGAGAACAAGTGAATCCATGTGGAATTGAAACCATGAAACCTTCATTAAAAGCCTATTCAGTCTGAGTGTGGTGGCTCACACCTGTAATCCCAGCATTCTGGAAGCTGAGGCAGAAAGATCATGAGTTCGAACCCAGCCTATGCTTCATAGTAAGTTTAAAGTCAGCCTGGGTTACAAGAGACCTTATCTTAGAAAACAAGACAAGGGGGCTGGAGAGATGGCTCAGTGGTTAAGAGCATTCATTGCCTGCTCTTCCAAAGGTCCTGAGTTCAATTCACAGCCATCTGTAGGGAGGTCTGGCGCCCTCTTCTGGCCTGCAGGCATACAGACAGAACATTGTATACATAATAAATAAATAAATAAATAAATAAATAAATAAGAAAAACAAGACAAGGGGCTGGAGAGGTGGCTTAGCTGTTAAGAGCATATACTTGTTCTTTCAGAGGACCCAAGTTCAGTTCCCAGCACCCACTTCAGGTGGCTCACAACCGACTATAGCTCCAGCTCCAAGATATTGCTACCCTCTTTTAACGTCTGCATATAGCCCTGGTGTGCACGCACATGCACGCTCGCACACACACATCTTTAAAAAAAATTTTAATGCCCATTTAATTTAGAAGGAATTTTGGTTGCTCACTTTACTGTAGAAGGATACAAGAGTGCGTTCATCCAGCAGGATGGTGTGTTGTGACAGACTTTATCTTAACATTTTCCTTTTGTCGTCTTTTTGAAACAGGGCTTGCTCTCTGTAGCTCAAACTGGCTGGCCTCAAATTTGAGGATTGTAATCTTCCTGCCACAGCCTTCTGAGGATTACAGGCATGAGCCAACTTGCCTGGCTTCTTCGGCAGTTTCTTTTGGCATTTATGAGTAAACTGTTTTTGGAATCTGAATTATTGATATGTGCCTTTTGGATATTGGAACTTCTTGGCTGGACTATAGGAATTCTTCGAAAGACTAACTTTGTAGTAAGGATCCCCTCTATGAATATGAGGAAAGAATCTTTGAACTAATTCAAGTCTTATTATTAGTTTGTTTCTTAATCTAGATTAATGGTGCTTAGATTGTTTTATATATATAATTTACACATGAATTATGTATATACTTTTGATTTTTCTTTTTTTTTTTTAAAAATATTTTATTATTTATTATGTATATAATATTCTGTTTGTGTGTATGCCTGCAAGCCAGAAGACTCCATTACAGATAGTTGTGAGCTACCATGTGGTTGCTGGGAATTGAACTCAGGACCTTTGGAAGAGCAGGCAACGCTCTTAACCTCTGAGCCATCTCTCCAGCCCTACTTTTGATTTTTCTGAGTCAGTATCTTACTGTGTGGCCCTTTCTGTCCTGAAACTCGATGTGTAGACCAGGCTGACCTCAAACTCACAGAGATCCGCCTGTCTCTGCCTCCCGAGTGCTGAGATTAAAGGCGTGCGCCACCGCTTCACCCATCTAGTATGTGTTTACTTTGAGGAACTTAAGTTGTAATGAGATAGAACCGGTGTTTGCTCTGATCTTGAGACACCCAGTTTCCACATGAATTTTGTTTTTGAGTGTGACCACCAGGAGAACTTTAGGGTCAGGGTTTAAATTTGCCCTCAAGACAGGCTTTATGCATTTAGAGAAAACTAGGCAGGAAGATTAATATGAGTTCAAGGCCAGCCTGGCCTGTGTAGTGAGTTCTAAGCCAACTTAGGTGGTAGAGTGAGGTGTTCTCAATAAAACCAAAAGAAAAAAAGGATTTGCTCAAAATGTGTTTCTGTAGTTGGTAGACAACTGTGAGTTCTGTTTGTTTGGCTTGTTTTGCAACACCTTTATATTCTCATTCTGTGTTGAGACTGATAATTCAAAGTTCTTTTCCCCCCATTCTTTTTTGTTTGTTTAGTTTCGTTATTTTCGTTAGTTTAGTTTGTATGTTTCATTACTTCTACATGAAGAGCACTTATGATGAATAATACGTAGTCTCTGCTGTTCTAGAGATTTTATTCCAGTTGAATTTATGACTTGCATAATGTTGATGACTCTCCAGACTAGAAGGAGAAATTAAAATTTGCAACTTAATTGCAAAGGGTTTTAATAGCATTTATTATTTTAATTAAAGTTTTATTTTTATGTGTGGGTGGGTGTGCTTGCCATGGTACATAAGGATGTCCGAAGTCAACTCTGTGGAGTTGTTGTCTCCATCTTTGCATAGTTTGGGATCAGGTCGGGTACAGGCTTTTGAAACAAATGTGTTTACTCAATTATGTTGCTGTCTATTCTTAGGAAGCTATAAAACTGTGTGTATTGTATGTAAGGTTATATATTTAAAAGTGTTTTCAGTGGCTGAGGGAAATAGCTTGTCAATTAAGGGCACCTCCTGGTCTTGCAGAAGACCAGGTTTGGTTCTCAGTACTCACGGCACTACACAACTGCCCATAACTGTAGCTTCAGGGAACTCAGCACTTTCTTCTGGCCCTGCCAGCTCTTGGATGAATGTGGGGCACATAAACTCATCTAGGTGCACACACACGTATGAAAAGTAATGTTTTTTGTTTTTGTTTTTAAATGCCTTCATGCTGGGTGTGGTGGAGCATGCCTTTAATCCCAGTATTTGGGAGGCAGCAGCAGGTGAATCTTCTTGAGTTCAAAGGCAGCTTTGTCTGTCGAGTGTAAGAGTGTAGTAAGGCCCGAATATAGTGAGACTATGTCTTAAAAACAAAACAAAACAAAAAAAAA